GTGAAATACCTCTGGACTCGCTCAATTGTATTAATGTCCGATATGCAGTGCGGGTTCCGGACAGATGAGCTGTATTTGAGAATTGGTCTAGCAAATGTTTTGTATGCCCTAGTTTGCAGTTCAATATTACCAGAGAGGAAGCTATGTAAGATTAGGTTAACACCATGGCCACACCCACCCAGCAACCAGGCCTCACATTCCGTTACCTCAGTTCAAACTGGCAGACGTTCCACTCCTTCACTCAGGAGCGATCTGGGGCTTGGGGAGGTGGAAAAATGGGCCTCCCGGAAGGCCGGAAATGGGCCCCAGAGCCTGGGGAAAGCAATTTTTGCCCTCCCAGAGGCTCGAGGAAAGCCTCCAGATCCTGAGGAAGATGAAAACACACACACCACACCCCCATGGTGCAGGAGGCTGACTAGGCCATGCCCACCATGGCCACACCCACCCAGCAACCGGGCAGAGAAGCCGTTGCTGAAATTTTTGAAGCCCACCCCTGCTCATAAGTCACTTTTTTCAGTGTCGTTGTAACTTTGAACAGTCACACATCAAATGTTGTAAGTCAAGGACCCTCTATATTTGTCTCTGTGGGAGCCTATCGATGCCAACATTTCTCTGTTTCAGATTTTCCCCAATTTAGTGTCCTCCGCAATTTTTGCATTACAACTTCCAAGGTTACATTTTATTACATTGGTTTGTGAAGAGAGTTTCCTATTTCTTCCTGCCAGCAAGTTGCCGGTGTTTTTCCCCATTCGTTCTTCTGACAATGGTTATTATTCTCAATTATTATTCCTTTTTCACTCTGCAGGTACGGAATGAACTGTCTCATTCAGTTTGAAGACTTTGCCAATGCCAACGCGTTCCGGCTACTGAACAAATATCGCAATCGTTATTGCACTTTCAACGATGACATTCAAGGTAAGGCTTTCTGTCAGAGTTTCTTGCCGAAATCAAATCCAGAAAGCACAGACTGGTAAGTGATTCAGCAGGATTCATTAACTCAGGGGTGAAAGCCAGCAGGTTCTGACGCGTTCTGGAGAACCGGTAGCGGAAATTTTGAGTAGTTCAGAGAACCGATAAATACCACCTCTGGCTGGCCACGCCCCATCTATTCTCTGCCTCCTGGGTCCCAGCTGATTGGGAGGAAATGGGGATTTTGCAGCAACCTTCCCCTGCCATGCCCACAGAACCAGTAGTAAAAAAAATTGAATTTCATCACTGCATTAACTTCTCTTTATATATAATATAACACATATGTAAATATACAACACCAACAGCAGAGGTCAGAACAGTTTTCAGTTCAGAGTTCAGCATTGCAGACCAGATTAGTTCTCAGCACAGACTTGCAGCTTTTAGTACAGAACAGTTGGACTAAGCCACGTCCAGGCGCCTAGCTGTCTCCAGCAAATACTGTTTTCAGTTTCTAAACAGCCCTCATTGGCTGACTTAGTTGCTATGCCTGTTCATTGGCTGATCTCGTTACCATGTCTCTGCCGGTCATGAATCCTCTGACACGTTCAACCGTTCGTTGATAAAATGGAAGGTGGCAATCTTGCATGCTTTTTTCTATGAAGTTCCTCTTCAGCTGATTCCATATCAACATGCTCTTTTTACCTCAGAAGGTCTCTGAAAGTCTTCTGAGCTTCACTTGGGGGGACTTTTCAAGAGATAAATAGAGGCGCCATGATGTTTTGGTTGAGTTACATTTTCTTCAATTTGTCCCATCCTTACATAAAGTTCCATAGAGATAGTGGTATTCAGCCAGTTTGGACCGGTTCAGGGGAACCCATAGCGGAGATAGCGGGTGGGCATGGCCACCCGCCCCGGCACTATGGTGTTCTATTTAACCATGGTTTTTTTGAGCTGGGCACATGCGTGGAAGGCCATGCGTGAACGAAGTGCATGAGTGGAGGCCAGGCACCTGCGCGGACCAAGCACACGACAAACCGGTGGTAAAAATAAGTGAAACCCACTGCTGGATATCTGGAGATGTTCCTTACAAACAGAGGCAGCCACTTACAAAATGTGAAATGAAAAGAATGTATTTCCTCAAAGGTGGAAGTTTATCTTCATAAAAACTTGCATTTTCTCCTTCTCGTTTTTATACATTTTCTCTCATGAAACTGACAAGAACAGCAGAGCTCGTGATATTTTTTTTGATAGTGGGATATTTCAATAGGGGAGAATATTTGTAGTTCAGAGTTGAAACAAGGAGACCTTGGTGCTCTCTTAGCTTGGCTGTTTACTTGCAAATGTTTCCTTACCCAACTAGGTAACATCATCAGTGCTGATAGCAATAGCAGTAGACTTAGCAATAGCAGTAGACTTATATACCGCTTCATAGGGCTTTCAGCCCTCTCTAAGCGGTTTACAGAGAGTCAGCATATTGCCCCCAACAATCTGGGTCCTCATTTTACCCACCTCGGAAGGATGGAAGGCTGAGTCAACCCTGAGCCGGTGGGATTTGAACCGCTGAACTGCTGATCTAGCAGTAGCCTGCAGTGCTGCATTTAACCACTGCGCCACCTTGGCTCCTAAGGGGGTGAGGTTTGTTCTCATTTTATGTTTTAGGTGCTTGCCCTGTCAACACTGCTGTTGGTTAGGCTGCTGTTTACTGTTAGTTTATTATTAGCAGTTCCTTGATTGGGGTATTGTTTGCTTTTTGATTATTAATCTAATGTTGCCAGGCTTCCAGGAATTCTCTAGAACCGTGTTGGCGAACTTGTGGCACGCTTGCCGGAGGTGGCATGCAGAGCCATTTTGTCCGGGACACGCGACCTCACTGGCTCCTCTTCTGAATCCCTGTGCATGCATGCGCGCTGGCCAGCTGCCTTTCGCACATGCGGGAATACCGAAACCTGCGAGAGCAGTGCTCCAGCGCGCATGCGCATGCCTGCATGCCTGCACCCGAACTTCTCAGTTTCTGTTGCGTGCATGCGCAACAGCTAGCTGTTTGTCAGGTGCACATCTGTGCCGGAAACTGGAAATTTGGGTGCTGGCACACAAATGAATGCCAGAACGCTGCTCTTCCAGGTTTCGGCGTTCCCACGCACATGGAGGCCAGCGAGGCCACATGTTCCAGGCAAGATGGTTTGACGTGCCATTTCCGGCACGCAGATCAGCACACAGTGACATAAAAGGTTAGCAATGCTGTAGAATTTTTGGACTTGGTTTGATCCAAGCTTGGCACTCTGACAAATCAGCCATCAGCAGGCACATAGACATGCACAACATCTACATACCATTTAAAAGATACAGTCAACAAGCCAAAAGAGGAACAAAAGACCAGAGCACCTCCTCACCAGTGATCAACCTTCAAAGGAGCAGAGATTAACACCAAGATTAAATATGGACGAACAATCAAGAAGCAAACAATTTCCCAATCAAGTAACTGCCAAACAAGCAGGGGAATTCTGGGAGTTGAAGTCCACAAGCCTTAAAAGTTGCCAAGACTGGATACCTCGTGTTTAATTCATGTCTGTCTAACCTTTTGGTTTGCCTGGGTTGAATGGAGTGGAGAGGAATTGTCTTATATGGCTGCATATAAAATATAAAACATAGCTAATGTGCATAAATCACATAATAATGTTGAAAGTTTGCAGTCTTGGGTAGCCACATTACTAGCTATTCAGAAGTCGCGGGCTGGACACACCCATTTTAATGAAATTAAATTAACTAAACATAAATAAAAGGCAATGAATTTAAAGTCACCAACTGAATAAATGGATTCTTAAACTGTCATTAATAAAAGCTTGAATTTTTCTTTCTTTTTTTTTTTTTTTGAGTTGGCAAATTGCACTGAGCAGGAAAGATTGATTTCTATTTGTTTTGCAGAATGACCTTTTGGTATTAAACGAACATTAAATAGCCAATTGCTTACTTAAAAACATCTGCAGGGCTCTTAAAAGTCTTCTCCTTTGAGATTAGCAGAGCCTACTTTTCATAATAAATTTTTGTTCTTCATGTCTCGGGTTACATAACTGGAAAACACGGGAACAATGAGTAGAGCTGATGAGGCTTAGGAGAAACATTCTTTAAGAAAAAAATTATCATATCCCGCATTTATTATTGCAACACCGTCCTGCAACGTTTCGGTGATTTTAGTCATTAGAATATAGAATTATAGGTAGGCCCACCCTAACTCTTGGGAAGACTGTAGAGATTTCTTAAAACCAAATAACAGGAAAAGTTGAATCATACCATCCTTTAGCATCCTTTCCTTCCCCTCCTCTCTTTATAAGAATGGGGTTTTTTTAAAACGTGAAGTGTTTCTTTCGAAAACTTGTGTGCCTTGTATTGTATGGCGTCCGTCCTTCCGATGCTGATAAAAATGAATCCTTAGCTCCCTCAAGAGGACAGAGGAGTGCACTGAGCTTCGTTAAATATGAATTTTGAAAAGCGTGTTTGAATATTCTCACAAATCAGGCTAAGCCAGGGCCAGGGGTCAGCAACCTTAAAGACTCAAAGAGCCACAAAGGTCCTAACCGGAAGCCCCCCCGGTTCAATTCAGGAGCCGACCGAAAGTCCGATTTCCCTACCATAGAGTCTCCTTCTAGCATGGTGTCCTTTTTCCTCTACCTATCCTAACCGAAAGCCCTATCAATTTTGGAGCTGACTGGAAAACCCGCCCCTTGCTATAGTGTCCTCCTGGCATGCCGTTTTCCTACGCCCCCAACCGTAAGCTCCTCTCAATATCGTGGTGCCGACTGGCGACAGGGAGCCACAGCAGAGGGATGAAAGAGCCACATGCGGCTCCAGAGCAATTTGTTTCTGACCTCTGGCCAGGAGTGTCAAGCTTGATTTCACTGAGGGCTGCATCAGGATTGTGTTTCACCTCGGGGGACCAGGGTTGGCGCAGCCATGAGGTGTGGCCAGCATTACATCACTCATGTCGGGGGCGCCTGTGGTGGCCCAAGTGCTCGGCCAGCAAAAATGTGCTCCTGGGCACTGTTTCCGGCTGGGACAGCCTCCCGCAATCCTCTGCCAGCGAAAATGGAGCTCGGGGGGGCTGTGTGCAGCCCTCATGAGCTCCATTTCACTGGCAGAGGCCCCATGGCCCAGTCCTTCACTGTTTCCAGGGTGGACCCACAGGCCAGATCTAAGCACCCCACAGGCTAGATTTGGCCTCCCCGGGCGTTGGGGTTGACATCACTAAGGGAACAAAGCTGGATTTTTTGTATAAAGAGCTTTTGAAGCTATAGGACCATGATGGTGTATCTATGGCACGCCCTCCGCTACGACCCATTTTTGCTGCCAGGAGGCTGCAGGGAGGCCTAATAGGCCCAAAACGGAAGGTGGGGGGTCACTCGCGCATGCATGGGGGGAGGCAGGAGCATAGGGGGTCATGCATGCATGCAGAGGGGGGCTTGTGGGGGTGTCTAACGTGTATTGCAATATGGGTGAAGGGGTGAGCACGACGAAAAGGTTAGCCATCACTGCTATAGGATAACAATAGCAGGATACTGGATGCGTTAAGATATCTCCTAAATCGGGAGTCCCCAACCACCGGTGCTGGGCCACAGCCCATTCAGAACCAAGCCACAGAAATGGTGGATGCACGCATGTGCACAACACCGCATTTGTGAAAGCGAATGTGTGAAACTTTAAGAGTGGGAAAAGGTCCCTTCCAAACGAATTCTGTAACTCTAACTTCTTTGGTGCATCGACCATATTTCTCTGTTCTTGTAGTCAAGGGGAAAAAAACTCTTCACTTCGCAGCCAACCAGATATTCATTAAACGTGTTTGTGTGTGGGTGGTGTGTGGGTGTATTTGTGTGTGGTACAAATGGCAAAATTGGGCTCATTCTGGAGCCTGCAATCAATTCTCTTGAAATAAATGAAGGTGTCACCCTTCAGCCTTTGATGTGAGATAATGTAACACCATGGTCTCTCGTCTGCTAAACACTTCATTATATGTT